TAAAACCGTAATGTAATCTTTGTCACTTCCATAACTGCTTTGACATCGGCAGAATTTGATACTATGAGATTGCAATAAATTAAAAGAAAAAATAATTTAGAACAAGTTTGCATTTACTAACATGAAATTTTATTACAGACTACCTAACTTTATTTCATAATATTCTTGATGTAATTTAAGTAAAGAAGTCTATAAAAAGCAGAGGAGAAGATTACAATCACACTATTTACATTTTTTCTAAATTAAAAACTAACCTCAATTAATTTAATAAACCTTGGGAACACTGGATTTCTATTGATTGCAATGACCGGCACTTGTGGCCATACTTCGGGAACAGCGACCGTAGCTGGCAACTGACTAGTGAACAAAGGAGTCTCGTCTTTTGCTTCTGAATCTTCTTCAGGAGGGTCATTTTTATTTTCAGTTGAATACAATCTGTTATTAGAAGGCTGTATCACTCGTGGTAGAAATCCAACATTATAACAACAAACTCGGCTGCGTGAACCTAATCCACTATAACTACTTAATAGACGAGAATTCTGTAACTTATTATTATGTGATGCAATTCTAGTAAAGTTCCGAACTAATCGCCCCGATGTGGACTTAAATTTCTGGTTTGATAAAACGGTATTTCTTACTAATATATTCGCGGTATGCATCGTTTATTCTTTATTGTTTTACAATGTTATCCAGTTAATAATCATTTAAAATAATAATATCAAGGTTATATTTCCAGATCCAAATTTTTCAAGCAGAACAAAATAATGACCAAAGATAAAATCGGTGATGAATCTGGATGGATTGTCATTTGTCACACTTGACATATATCAGATTGCTTGTCTGTGTCTTACGTTATGGAATCTTTTTTTTAATTGCCTTTGCGGCTCTGGGTTCTAGTCTTTCTGAGCCCATCATTTCTTTCGGATACTACATTTTATATATTTTTTCGTCACAACATGCTGATGCATCACATTGCAAAGTTTTTGGGAAATTTTGACGACATCTCAACCCAGCTGAAAGTTGATGACGACAACCACTCAAGTTCATAAGGCAGCCTAAGCGATCAAATTAACTTGATGTTTATATTAACATCAAAGCACTTGTTTCGTCGTTTTCTCTTATAGTTTACACGCGCAAACACTTAATTCACAAAATCGCATCACTATTACGAATCAAAATCTATTTCAAACCAATAATCAAGCTACAAAACAGGAACGACAATCCGCTGACGACCAAGTTCCCGCCAAAACTCCTGTCATCTCTTAATAGAATTCTGCCCATGGAGGTTAGAAAACAGAAGGATTGCTACGTGCTAAAGCATAGCCCACCTGTCCCTGAACATTTGTAGAATTTATAGTCGCGGTGCCGTCGGTAAGTATCTAGTATCAACGAAGTAATTTTTTAATTATTTACAAAAAGAAACATTATAAAATGATAAAATATAATTAAAAAAATAATAATAAATCAACAATTATTATTAATTTATATTTATAATAATTAAAATTATAAAAAAACATAATTTATAATTTATTTATTAGTAAGTAATTTCGTTATATTCCTCTTTTTTTTCTTTGAATGATATTGTAATCATTTGAAACTAGCGCACAAAAGCCCGCTTTTATTGAGGTAACTTAGCGATCGCAGCACCTCACTTATTTTGCATATTTCTGGGACACTATTTTCTACAGCGATCGTTCTCCTGTTCTCTAGCCTACATGATTCTGCCTATGGAATGTAGAGATACTTCTATACTTCATGATTCTGCCAATGTCAAGTCTTTATATTATATATCTATGGTCAAGTCAGTTATGGAGTGACAACAAAGTAATAAGTTTGTTGTGATTGACTTCTATTCTACAACAAAAGATAACTCAAATAGTTATAATTCTGCCACCAACAAAGATGAATTAGTATTATGTTACACTTAATATTAGTATCTGGATAAAATCACATAAAATACGAAGAATTGAGAAGAACACGAGAGCCAGCAGACAAGTAGAATTAGTATTACGTTTTGGGGAAGAATATCATACAAGGAGAACTTGAGTCGCCGACATTCAAAAAGTATGTGGTCGGTGGAATCTATATTAAGACCACATTCACATAAAGAATTATCCCTTATCCTTAATTTGGCCAGGTGTACCAGTGTGCAAGAATGACCAAAGCAAAGGTAGCAAAAGGTTGTTGACATAGTAAATTTATTGGCTTCACGAGAGTGGACCCAAGGTTTGTGTGAAGTTACGTCTTGGATCCGAGCGTAGTGTTTACATTTTATATTTTTAGTTTAGTCCCAGATACCTTGCCATGATGTCGTAAAATCGATCACGTATCAGAATTTCGCTCACAATTAAAGTGGTTGACTATACGCCAGCGCGGAGAATTTCGAATGCTCTCCTCTCTGTTTTCAGTTCTTAATGATTCTTCCTCACCCCTTTACCTAAAAGAAAGATTCCAATTCCGTAATGACACTCATTCTCTCAATCTCCGATCTTCACACAATTTATTACTGTCCAAACGTTTTTAAAAGAAAACTGTACGAATATATCCGTAACCAACAAAATTGAGTACACTTACTTTATATGTTTATAGTTATTTCTATATAAATTTATGGTATATATATATATATATATATATATATATATATATATATATATATATATATATATATATATATATATTGATGTTGATGATGATGGTGTAGATATAATAAAAATAAAACTTGTAAACAAAATACAATTCAGGCTAGAGTGTATGGTCCAACCCTTTGCATGTCTTAATTGGCGAATCAAACGAACTGTCTATGGATTGTAGTAGGGATGCACGATGTTGCAAAAATATCGATAATGTCGTCGATGATGATATCGACAGCTTAACATCGATGTTCGATGTTTATCCTACTCAAAACATCGATGTTTACCATTATCGATGTTTGTTGCATATTTACTTATTTAATAGGTTAAAATTAGATGAATGAAAATTAGTAATATTGTTTATGGTTATTATTAATAAAATGAAAGAAATTTATAAAAGTTTTAGTGTCAAAGAGTTATAAAAATGGGAGGAAGTTAAAAAATATCCAGTTCATTTGTTATATTTTTCGCTGATGATGAATGTTATTATGTTTAGCTTTATATGTTTCTATAAACTCATAAATTCTGTATGAAAAAGTTTACTATGGGACCTAATTTACGATTTAGACGTAGATTTTATGTAAACTACTAATTTTTTTCTCTATAATCATATATTTTATTTCGTGATAGGATGAAATAAAAAATATGATTATAGAGAAAAAAATTAACAAACTACACAAAAACTAAATAATAGTCCTTTTCCGTCACCTTTGTTCACAATTTTTAATCAGGCAATCCAAGCAGTAAGTATACACAGGCGTTTATAAAATGCACAGTTGAATGCAATATGTAGTAAAATTGTCTATTCTCATGATTGTCCGGTGATTTATTTTCATAAACTTCAAGCAAACAATAAACTCCTTATGACAAGCTCAAAAAAGCAAATTATTTGTGTATATACAGCACGGGGAAATACAATTAATTTGAATATCAATTTACGTAGAATAGTTATTAGGCGACGACCGATAATGACACCACAGATTAACAAAGTAGTGACAATTGTGACATTACAGTTCACAATTGACAGTTAGGTTTGACACTCCATGATGGAGCTGCTGTTTTTATTCCTAAGTTCAAAATCATTCTTAACTTTAAATGCCCCTCACTATCCTCCACTTTTACTGGTGAAGCAACTGCAATCAGTGAAGCTTTGTTATATGTAGAGTCACATAATCTTAATAAAACAGTTATTTTCACAGATTCAAAAAGTTGTTTGTTAACTATTTTGTCCAATCAATTCCATAACAAACATAAATTTCCACTAATTCTTAAAATAAAAAATACCCTATTCAGATGCCATCTTAAAGGAATCCATGTTTCAGTGGTCTGGATTTCAGGCCACAGTGGTAACCATGGTAACGAAACAGCTGATGTACTCGCTAAAAATGCAATTGCTAATGGCATTCTACAAAATTTAATTTACTCACATGACCTAATTTTGCTAGCTAAAAGGAAACTGAATGAAAATTGGAATAAATTATGGGAAGTTTCCAAAAAAGTTAAAGGTAAGCACTATGCTGCCATCCAAGAGGTTATTCCTCCCAAGCCTTGGTTCTTTAAATTTAACAAAGCAAATAAACATGCAACTTCAATCATTTGTAGATTAAGAATTGGACACGCCTGTACACATGCACATCTGGCAAAAATCAGAGTAAGGGATAGCTCATTGTGTGAATGTGGCTTAGGTGAAGGTTCCACAAACCATATTTTTTTCAACTGCCCCAAATTATCCTCCTCCCTTTATGATTACCTTCCTCCTTATATTCCTCGACCTATAGATTTTAATTCTCTTTTAACATATACCAGTACTCCTTTTGTGTATATTTTATGTGATTTTATTAATACTAATAATATGAAACTTTAAATCCTTGTCACTTTTAACATACGGGTAAGAGTCTAACACCTGTGTTTGTCATATTTGTTCTAGGTAATTCAACAAATAGATTTGTCAAAATTCTCGGAGGAAAACTGAATCCTTGTATTATCACAGACTCTTATTTTAATTAAACTCATAAGCTTTCATTTTCTACTCAATACGTCATTGGCGAATTTTATCAAACCGCCACAAAAGAAAGAAGAAGAAGAAGACACTCCATAATGATATTTTTTATGTGATCGATGCGATTAGGAATTCTGAATTATTTAAAATTTTAAATATTTAATAGGAAATGCAAGATTTTGTTGATATTGCTTTCGTGAATTAAAGCAACGATGCTAAAACATCGATGATCGTCGAACATCCCTAGAGTGTAGGCTACTGTCACTCAATAATCAATTATGTCAACTGGTGTCAACCAATGTCAACAAAGAATTTCACATTCACATCGGTTTAAATTAGTATTAGAAATATAAACACATTTTAAAAATTGCATGACTTTCTTAAAAATTATAAGAGGGTTAAAGGTTAGTGCTTCCACTGTATTTTATCCTGGGAGCTTAATACAGCTACATTTTATTTTTGTAAATTTTTTAACCTTGATAGAAAATAAGATTATTAAGGAAATTATTACTCTCACGGCAAATTTACAGAATAGTAATAGTATATATATATTGGAAAACTTGTAATAAAGTGTATTATTATGTTGTAGTAAATAGACTGATATTCTAAAAACCTTAACTTTCTACTTTCAATTGAAAATTATGTCTATATTTCGTACATGTAATTTTTCTATAGACCGTTATGAAAATGGAAGAGGCCACAAAACCAGAAAAAGCAATAAAAACTATAAAAGAAGGGAAAGCAGAAATATGCTTGAAGATTGAAAAAGTATTTTATAACCCAGTTCAAGAATTTAATAGAGACCTTAGTATAGCTGTTTTAAGTATATTTACTGATGATTATAAGGTAGAAAAACTTAATAGAGCTGAAAAGAAGTTATCAAAGGGTCTAAACAATACAGAGGGAACAAATGAAGTAAGTGAGGTATGGTATAATTATATAACATTTTTCAAATAAATCTCTTCCTTTAATTAAAATGACTTATTTTAAATACTTAAAAAAGGGTTAGATTGCTCTGCATGTAGCTATAAATATCAAAAATATTTTTATAAATAATATAAGTATTTTTCAGAGTTATGTTGACTGCAGTAGAATAGTACATTTTTTATAGCATATGTAGGAAGGTAGTTGAATAGAATTAATTTACAATCACAAAATACACGGATCACAGGTTATCAACTATAAATTGTACTAAGACTAGTTTAATAGTTGATAATAATAATTAATTAAGCTTTCCACGAATTAATTATCCGAGTAGTCTAGGATGAGCTAGTAGCGGGATACAACAAGTGAACCGTGCCACGCCAGAGCCATGACTGCCTTAACGGCAGCCTCTCCATCCATTTTATACAATCGAGACAAGTAGCTACACAAGTGTGCAGTGCATGTGTTGTTTACAATAATTCCGACTACCCACAGAGGCGCTGCGACACATACATAAATGCTAACATCTGTCACTCAGAGGGTAGGCAGAGTATGGACTTCCATTAGGTAGGATTCTGACACGCCTTTCTCACCTTCTTTTACATCCATATACATCTACACTAATATTATAAAGAGGAAAGATTTGTTTGTTTGTTTGAATTGAATAGGCTCTGAAACTACTGAACCGATTTGAAAAATTCTTTCACCATTAGAATCCTACAGTATTCCTGATGAACATAGGCGATAGAACGTTTTCAAAAAATTTAGGGATCCGTATGAAAACTTCGTTAACCTTTTCGCTGCGCAATTCGTTTTGAGATTTTGTGCCTGCTGTGCGCATTTATTTTAGTAGTTTCATCTTTATTCGTGTTGAGCAGTTTGACCATTTAAACGCTGCGAATTAATTCGTGTTGAGCTGTTTAAAGAAATTAAGTATTGCGAGTTTATTCGTGTAGAGCAGTTTATTTTTTTTTTTGTAATTATTAAATCCTATTTGAATTTTAGTATGTATTCTTCAGAATGCTGGTAAGAACTGCCTGTATGCGCTAGAAATTGATAAATATATTGTGCAGGTTTAGACAAGTTCGTAATTGTTATTATAATTTTTATAGCGAGAATACTCGTCTGGAGCAGCGTACGAAAATAAAATTAGAGCGAGAATATCCGTGTAGAGCAGTTAACGCAGTAACATTGGTAGCCTTAAATACGTATTAAACAGCAAAAATAATCGTATAGAGCAGAAAACATGAATAATACATAGTAAAAATAGTCGTATTGAGCAGCTAACTAATTTAAAACTAAGCGCGAAAATATTCGTCGGGAGCGTATGATACACAAGTTTTTTTTGCGAATATATACGTGTGGAGCAGCGAAAGGGTTAATGTAACCCAATGTGTGAAAAAAATACCAAAAAAAAAACCTTATATCGCGTACGCTGCGGAAACTATTGACAATAGAGCAAAGTGATGTGCTACAGTTTTATGGAGGACATCAATATCTACATAAAAGTCTGCAATACCATATGTCTAACTATTATAGTTATCCCACAATAACTACTTTTCCATGTTAAAATATTCAATAGTAACGTCGAAAAATCCTTATATCGCGTACACTGACAGAACCATGCGATGCGGGTGTCACTGGAGTGTGGGAGGGGAGTCTATGTCAAAAAATAAATTGCCGCGCGGCCCACTGATATACGCGGGTGAAACTGCGGGGTACAGCTAGTATGTATACATGCTTGTCGGTTAAGGGTACTCTTATTTTGGTACATTTTCAATACATCGCCAATTTGGTCAATAAACAATAAAATAAAATAGAATAAAATCATTTTTTAAAATAAAGATTACAAAAATACTTATTGAAAGTCATTTAAGCTTTACTACTGTATAAAAATAACCTCTGTCTTACAGTGGTGAAGCTAGGGCTCCAAACTAGGGAACTCAAGATATGGTTTTGTTGTTTTTAGCAGTTTTATAAAAATACACCAATCTTGATTTGTCTCCACTTTTTAGTTTCATATTCAGTGATGTCAAGGACGTATTTAACAAAGCACAGAAGGCATACTACCGCTACATAGATTCTATGACATATGCAATTGTATGGTATAATGAGAATATAAAGCTTTGCAAATTTTTTTACCATAATATAATGACTATTTACTATATAACTATTTATTTTCAATTTTAATAAACCATACAAAATGATATTTTTAACTTTTAAGGTAATATAAATATTATATTATTAAATTAGCTGATAGCGTGTTTGTGCCATCTACCGTGATCTTTATGTACCACTGTGAGAATCAATCAATTTTTGTTCGATAAAATGATTTCACCTATAGAATTAAGGCACTATTAAAATTTTATATACTGAACTGAGAAGATAAAGCTAAGCTAAGGACTAAAGTAAATATTCTTTAATAACCTCAATACATCTATTCATTTAACTTATTACATTAAAATTTGGACTTCACATTAAAAAAAGATTGTAACAATTATTTTCTATAGAATTAAACTTATACCTAGGTATCTCATATTTTATGCTGAATTTCAAAATGATATTTTTAACTCATATGGTAATATAAGTATTGAGTTATTAAACCTTTAAATACGCCTAGAATAATTAAACTTGAATACTAAAGAGTCTTGTACCTATTAAGGTATGAAGAAATGTTTATTGAATAAAAATTTCATTTTTAAAGATTTTACCTTTTTCTACCCGATTAGCACTTTAACACACTTATATTCATCACAAGGAACACTATTATCCTCCAATTTTCACTTTAAATCTTTGAAAAAGCATAAATTTTTAACAGACACCTCAAAAACAAACATAAACATTGAAATGTGAAGTGAACTTGCAAACATATCGCCCGTACCCCCACTCGATAACGCATTCCTAAACAACTTCAGGGCAAAGCACGGCTTTTGGTTCCATAGTAATTGCTATATAAATACTTCGTAGTTATATTTCATTATAGAAAATTTTGCCACAGGTTAGAAAGGGAGCGATTGTCTTCTCGAAAGCCCGGTAAAAAGCCAACGCATGTGAGAGAGACGACAAAATCAAAATCTTTACTTTAATTAATTTTGACAGTCCAGTGTATTTCGAATTGAAAGCAAACTGCCAAGTGTTGATGTTACATATTATATGCTACGAGGTCAGGAGCGTGCAGGAATTTGAAACACTTTGAGAAAGGGAGCGATCGTCTTCTCGAAAGCCCGGTAAAAAGCCAACGCGTGCAAGAGAGACGACAAAATCCACTCCTTGCTTTAATTAATTTTGACAGTCCAGTGTATTTCGAATTGAAAGCAAACTGCCAAGTGTTGACGTTACATATTATATGCTACGAGGTCGCGCATAGCAGCGCGCAGGAATTTTGAAACAGTTAACGACTTATTTTATTAGTTGATATTACTGATTGAGCATTTTTATAGAGCAAGCCCGGCTCCTGGGCTTCTATGGAGGCTGCATGTCCTCTGTTATCTTCATAAAAGTACGGCCCAATAATGCAGTTTGCTGACATAGCAACCCACATGGTCACTTTGGGGCTATGCAATAGGCGTTTATGTAATGTCTGTGGATTCATTTCTCCCCAAAAACGACAATTTTGACGATTGACGTATCCGCCCAAATGAAAATGTGCCTCATCGCTAAAGAACATGTTGAAATTGTTAAATCTCTTTAACATTACATTCATAAAATTCAATCTTGTAACGTAATCATTTTCATGAAGAGCTTGCACAATCTGAATTTTATAGGCCTTTAGGTGTAAATCAGATCGCATTATGCGGTGAATTGTCGCTCTTGATAATCCCAACTGAGACTCACGCTTTCTAACGCTGAGTCGAAGGTTGTCGGCTTACAGAATCTGCAACTGACTGAATGTTTCCAGGCATTTTTGCTGTCCTTGGACATTGGTGATGGATTTCGCCAATAGTATTTCCAGTAGTATTGAATGTCTGGATCCAAGCTAAAATTGTTGTATTGCTTGGAGTTACCACAATGTTGCGCAGTCGATAATGTAACCAATACATCTGTCGAACGCGAATGAGTGATCGACTGTTCTCGAAATACGCGCGCACGCAAAACGAGCGTAACTCTCCCGTATACGGCATGATGGCAACTAAAAATTTAAGGGACACTAGTAAACGACGCCCGCGCCACCACTCCCCCGCGATTTGTTCGCTTCTCGCTCACTCTTGAAATAGTTGGATCGTTTTGAAACACCCTGTATGAAATTCTCTATCCTGTAGTCTAAACAAGTCACTTACTGTATGGATTTTCATTTTTAATCTACTGTCAATTAGCGCCTTTTTTGTGTGGTTGTTGTTGTGCTTTATTGTGTTGATTTTTGGATATATAAAACATAGGTCTGTTTTCAAGTGTTTATTATAAATATCTCAAGTTATTTCATAGAATTTTTTTACATTTTTAGATAGCTTTGATCCTTGTTTATTGTTTTTTTATTTGATTCCCAATTATTTCGTGAAATCAAGCCCACTAAATAGTTTGCAAATTTTGATCATGTATAAGAAGCATATTGTTTTGATAAAAATATTAGATTTGATAATTAAGTTAAAAATATGTTTATCAATTAGTAAATTGTTGTTCACAAAATGATAAAATATGATCTGGTTGCAGAGTAAATACATTTAATGTTTAGGGTAGTATTAGCAACGCCGTTTTTTTAAAAAGCGCGGGTAATTGCAATCTTTTTCAATTGTTTTAGCCGTGGATTGAAGGGTTAAATGATTATATTATTTTAAATTATTGATGAGATATTGTTAGTAAAAAGTATAATTTGATATTTGCTAGTGAAGGAAAACATTGTGAGGAAACCTGCATGTCTAAGAAATAAAAAATATTTTGATGTGAAGTTTGCCAACATGCATGGGGCAGTGCGGCAGACACTTCCTTGCCCTAAAACCCTCTCAGAAATGAGAGGAGGCCTGTGGCCAGCAGTGGGACGTATATAGGCTGTAACTTAAAGTTTA